AGAGGAGGAAGGAAAGGAAGAAAGAAGGAGAGGAAGGAAGGAAGGAAGGAGGGAAGGAAGGAAGAAAGAAGGAAGGAAGGAAGGATAGAAGGAAATAAGGAGACCTTTTCATGTACTCTGAGTCATTAAGGCATTGGCCTTGTTATTGTTCTTCAAACTAGAAACTCTATCTCTCAATTCCAGGCATTTTCACTGGTTGCACCAGTGAATCATTTCCTGCTTCATAGCCATTTTTGTTTTCCTGGCTTCCTTAACGTTCTACCTAAAATCCCACTTTCAACAAGACATCCCTGTAAGTTATTAATTCTAGTGCCTTCTCTCTATTAATGCCTGGTTCTTATCTCAATGAGAGACAGAGAGAAGAGAGAGAGGGAAGAGAAAACTGTTTCATTTTGTCACTTCACAGATGTCACTGAAGAGTAGAATTTTGGGGAATCTTAAAGATCACTATTTTCTGGACAAAGAAACAGTCACACAGTAGCAGAAATGGGATTCTTAACTAGGTCTCCTAAGACTAAGACTGGATAGTATTCTTTCCTCATTCAAACACTTTGAATTATTAAGTAGCTCAGAGGGGATTAAATCAAAGGGTCATCTATACTTTGCCTGAAGATTTCCAGTGACAGAGACCTCACTACCTCAAAGGTAGCCCATTCTTCTTTTGAAAGTTCTAATTGTCACAAAGTTTCTCTTTTTATGAGATCAGAATATGCCACCTTGTGACTTCCTAATTCTTCCCTTTGGCATTAAGTAGGACACCACTTTCTGATGACAATCCTTTAAGTATTTAAATTGACTAAAAGAAACTCTCCTAAATTATCTGTTTTTCAAACAAACATTCAAAGTCACCTAGAAAGTTCTCAATAGTACCAGGACTTAAACCTCAATCTTGAATCCTAACCTAATCCTTTTTCAAGGGGTAGGGAATACAATTTGTGTGTTATCTCTTGGGCTAATACTAGATAATCTTTTTTCTGGTACACTCCTACATTAGCTAAAAGAATTAGAACAGTTTATGTTGACTTTTTTTTTTTAATAAATGAACAGGGACCTACATTTTCTCTGATTTACTAGTAACCATGAAGTAGGATGGTCACCGATCTTTCTCTTAATAGGGTGAGGAGTACAGTTAATGTTTTCAGTCTTTTTACTCCCTTTTTCCTTGTGTCTTGTCAAAGGGAACATTTTGTTATTGAGTTCTAGCCCTTCTGTTTAGAATATGAGCCATAAACTGTATTGATGAGGTGTGTGACTCAGTATTAACTATTTCTACAGTTAGAGGAAGCCATAAAACACCTCATAAATACTGAAACCAAATTAACTCTGCTTTAATTTTCATTGGAAGAAAATGTTTCATTTTAAATTGCTTTGGAGTTGTTAGGGGCAAGGATTCAAACAATCTGAAGTCTAGTGAATTTTACTGGTAAGTGTGCAGAAAAGGAATTGTGAAGCACCCAGCCACATCAGTTATGGGGAGATGGACATCCAACAGAATGTTTCCTTTTTCTTTTTCAGTGACAGCATAGGCTAAAACCCCAAGCAAGTTTGCAGAAAACTATTACACAGTGGCATATCTTATAAGAGTGTGGAAAGTAGATGGAAAAATGTCAGAGTACCTGATCCACCACTGCGCTGTTATTCCTAGATAAACATGAAAAGAGAAGCCTGATTCTTCCAATTAGGATCTGACATAGACCTTTTTGTCGTTTCCTAACAGACTTTCTTGCATGTTGTTGATTTGAAAATTCGTTTGCCATTGCAGACATGACAGGAAGAATCTTCTGGATGATACGGCTGGTTCTGCATGGAGACAATATGTATGTCAATGAGAAGGAGGCCACAAGGTCCATGTAGAGTCCACAGCAATGTCCTCAGAAAGGTTCCACTACAATCTCTTTCTCACTATTTAGCAAGTTTTCCTTGGAGCTGCCCCAGTGGAACTGTGCTACCTGGCCTGCTTGGAGCCAAGAAGGTGGGCTTTGCTTCTAAAAAGCATCTTCTAAAAAGATGATGAAAACACAGTGTTTAGATTGTAACTGTTGCAGTACCTTGTCTTTATACACACATAAGTGTGGATATATGTATGTGTGCGCATATATATATATATATATATATATATATATACATATATGTATATATATATTTACATATGAATATACACATGTGTATTTACCTATGTACAAATGTATATGTTGTTCATAAATTAGAATATATAAATAACTCATGAATCATATATATATATATATATATATATATATATATATATATATGTATGTATAAACTATATTAACCTAAACAATTGGGTTATAGGCATTGATTTTTGTTCATCTTTCATTTTAGAAGAGGACCAGTGAATTACAAGAGTGACATTTTGACTTGCAAGTGATTTGGATTTAAGTAAGACAGAGCTGTGCCAAGTCATCAGCCCAACCCTCTGCTCCACAGTCATCAGAGTTCTGGGCAACACATAGGTCAGGACCACTGGAGGCAGCACCAGATGCATTAAAAGACCTTGAGCTTTTTAAATTAAGGTGTTTCCCAGGTTTCAGTTTCTCTGAGGCAACACCCATTTAGTGATTCAGTTTGGTAAGCAATGAGGCAAAAGATGGCCTACTGTGCCTTCACAAAAGAATCCATCTGAAAGTGGAAGACCTTCAGAATTTCTGACTAGAATAAAACCTATTAAGTGAGGATAGGCCTCTCTAGCTAAAAGAAGGGACATCTGAAAGGAATAACATCAGTCATTTACATCTTTGTTCAAATTAGTCAGTTCCTGAGAACAGAATCTTGCCAGTCATGCAAAATTTGCTGGATGAGAAGGGACGACCGTATAATCCAATCTGGGGATTACATAATCTAAACTGGGATTTTGTCTAGGAGGGCAGACTTGGGTGAGAAGCTTAATGACAATCCCTTAGGTGGTAGAGAGCCACTGGGCACCTCCTTGAAGAAGGAGGAAGGTGACAAAAAATGTAGGTGAGGGGAAGGGGCAAAAAGATGATGGTTCTTGAAGACAAACTTAATGTCCTTCACAAGTTAGCATAGGCTCATCCCTGTTTAAAATGTCTCCCTTTGTCAGTATCCATGTATAATTCAGTATAGGATTGTTCCAACTGGGGCTTTCCATTAGAACTCTGGAGGGGACTTTGTGCTGGCCTCTTTGGGATTGTTCCAACAAAGGATCTTTGCTCTGAGTGTTCCTCAACGTGGTTATCCTTCATTGAGGTAAAATGGTGAAGTATTTAACTTTGTTTGTCTTTACTGGGACTGACCCTGAAGAGGGCAAAAGAATGGATTAAACAGGCTAGGTATCCCTCGGAAATTTGGTACTGTCATTCAGCAATGAATGTTTTTGGTGTCCTCTACTTTCCTTTTCAGTATTCTCCCTCGGAGTTGGCCAGTGCCCTGGAACGCCCCCAACCCTCATTGCCACACACCACTTTGTCCTACCCTCTCCAAATCATCTCCTCTCCAACCTTCAATCAAAGTCTTGCTCAAGCCCATAGGTTCTAACACATCCCTGCTATACTCTAGAACAATGCTATATTATCCTAATGACTATTAATGTAATACTGTTCTTAGCCTAAGGAATTTGCAAGATGAATCCAGCAGAGATGATTCTAGCACTATATAGTGAATGAAGGGTAAGAGTGGGTGATTCATTGAGACATTTGGGGTCTTCTGGTGCCTGTCCCTCAACTACTGATGACTTAATGATACCATTCTACTCTTTCATCTTTTGCTGTGCACAAAATTCCTTTAAAGGTATTAACATCTTGTCTGTCTTGATCCTCATCATAGTACTGTGAGGTAGAGAGGGAAGATATTAGTACTTCCTCTTTTTCGGCTGAGAAAACTGAGTCTCATAAGTTGTAACACTTGCTCAGATGTATATGCCACACAGGGACCTTCCTACTCTGACTCTGCTTATGTCCGCCCCTCTATATAGTGATGTAATTTTTGAGGACACTGTTTTTCATTTTTCTATGTTCCAATTTTGTCAATTTTTGTGCTCCAAGGGAAAACTTTCCTTAGAGTTTCACAGATTTGCTTCTGGGGAAAAAAATTCTAAACAAATATCGAATATCATGTCCACTAAAATATGTTGAATAAATCAGAAAAGTCTCAATATCACTCAGTTATCCTACATTGCAAGTTTTAGTCCTATCTCCAAAAATTAGTGCAATAAAATGGGCACCAACTATTAAGCAAAGTTTTTGAAGCCTTTGACGTGTGATGGGTACAACACAGTAGTGTGACTGTTTATTTTCATTTTCCATTTTTTATAATTAAACTTAAAAACAAGACAAGAAAAAACAAAAAAACCCTTTAAGTACTAAAACTAAAATAATACAAAATAAGAGGAAAAAAGCATTGTCTTGTGCACAGCAGTATGTGAGAGAGGATTGAAAATATACATCAATAAATTTCCATTTGAAGAAAGCATATATACTAAATACTACTCATTGTGTTTAGATCTGTCCGTCTTTGCTTCCTTATACATTTTCTACACTGTTGTGCACTTTTTACATTGTTCTTTTTTCCCCCTTCCTCACCTTCCCTCACTGCAGAAGGCTACAATTAAGCAGGGATATGCATTATATATATACATATGTATATACATAGAGAGAGAGAGGGAAGGGGAAATTGAGAGCTATCAGTATGATGTAAGTATGTATGTATGTGAGTGTGTATGTATACATATATACACATATGGAAACATATGGAAATGCATATATACGTATACATATATAAATACGTGCACATTTATATTATACATTCTTATACATGTGCACATACGTGTATGTACATACATATATTTGTAAGTATATATATTATACACATACTAGAAGAGTTATAAAACACGAAGCTACTTGGAGATCAGACCACCCAGCTCTGATATTGATGCCAATATCTCTCTTACCTTTTTCCAAAGTAGTTTTACAAATGATATAGTGACTTGTAAGTAGAAATATATATATATATATATATGATTTACTATTCTTTATCTAGAAAACTAAGAACATCAAAGTTTTTAGTAAATCACTTCAAAAGAAAAATGAAAGTCTAAGACCAATCCACAGAAAGATCCTGTCTTATTAAATGGCTGCACTGCTATGCCAGTAGAATGTTAACATTTCAAAGAAATGGTTGCTGAGTGATGACATCACTGCTCTGCCAGTAGAATGTTGACATTTTAAAGAAATGGTTGTTGAGTGCTGATACCACAAGGATCAACAGTCAGAAACTTGCAGTGATTTCAATTCAATTCAATTTAACAAATACATATATTAATTGCCTAGTGTGTGGCTAGGGATACTGAATAGAATAAAACACTAAGGATCTGGATTCAAAAGATGATTCACTATGTGTGTATATACATATTTGTGTATGTGTCTCTGTGTGTGTGTGTGTGTGTGTATACATATACATATATGTGTGTATGTATGTATGTATGTATGACTTAGTATTAGAACTATGAACCTGGAAGCTGCTGGGAGATCAGATCACACAGCTGTTATTTTGATGGCTATATGTCTCTTACCTTTTTCCAAAGCAGTCTCACAAATTACACGAAGACTTGCAAGTAGAAGTATATGATATACTGCACTTTATTTAGAAGATGAAGACCAATGTTTCTACCCTATATAGTAAAGTAGAAAAATGCAAATCCAGCACCAACTGGTTGAAGAATCCTATCTTATTAAACGGCTGCACTGCTATGCCAGTAGAAGGTTGACATTTCCACCAGATGATGGTGGAGTGATGACCTCACTGCTATACCAGTAGAATATTGACATTTTAAAAAAATGATTGCTGATAATGATATCATGAGGTTCAATGGCCAGGAAATTTGCAGTGGTTTCAAGTCAATTATTTATTAATTGCAGAGTATGTTGCAAGGGATACTCAATTGACTTACACACTAAGGATCTTGATTACTATGTGTCAAAAGGAGGGGATGAGGGGAAAGTCTTATCCATATTGGTTATGTCAATTCAGAGCAGCCCTCCATGAGGTATGAGGACATGCAGTAGGGTTAGTCTATTCTAAATTGAGGGGTGGGTGTCAAAGAGCACAGTCCACAGTAGCTCTAAGGGTAAGTGGGGTAGATACCCCAAACTCTCCTCTCTTAGGAAGATGGCCAAGGTTGCCTCTGATATAGGGATATAGGGGGTCAATGGAGGCCACAAGTGAGGTACTGTACACTGGGGTCCTAAAAATAAATAAACCCTATCCACTCTGGTAGACACCAGTGCAGAATGCACAGTGCTACATCGGAACCCAGAAAGACATCCTGTCAAGTGGGTAGCCATAGAAAGATATGGGAGAAATTCAGTCAGGGCAAAACAAACTAAATTAAGATTGAAAATAGAGGACTTGCCACCCAGAGAATATGTGCTTGACATCAGTACAGAGGAAGAACAGCATGGGTAGGACAGGCAGGGGTCTCTGGATCAGCAACTTCTCTGGGGTCCTTGTTGCTTCCCCTTATTTTGTAAATTTGCCAGGTCCCTGGAAACCATCTGTGTGGGCAAGGTCAGCAGTCCTGGGAAAAGAGCTTGTTTGCTCAGAATTTGCAAGTTTATGTATCATGTAGAAATGAGTTCTAACAATTGACCCTCACACCAGGAAAATTTTAAATTTGAGAAGGAAAGAAAAACCAATGAAAGATGTTAAGCCAAATCTCTTGTGTATGTGAGGCCTGGTAAATTTGTATTGCTTATTGCAACTCCATGAGAGTAAAAAATAATTGTATCTCTCCCTAAGCCGTGATTAGGGGAACTTACCATTTCAGGTAAAAGCTCTCAGAACAGCAAGAGATTTCATTTTTAGGTTTCAGCTTTGAATTTATGTATAGATGTCTGATGAATCATTGAGTCAGAAATCCACCATTTGAAAGTAATGCCCTAAGGTTTGGGTTTCTCTGTCCTTCTCACAATGAACCATGGCATCAGGGAGATGATGTCATGACTTGCAATTGAATTGGATTTCAGAGAGGGAGAGCTGTGCAAAGTCACCTGCCTCATTTTCTCCTCCAGAGCCACCTAGGTCCAGTGGCCATATATAAATCAGGAGGACTGAGGGTTGCCCAGGATGCAGGGGGAGACCTTGGCCTTTCCAAATTAAGGTCTTTCTGAGTTCTCACTTTGAGTTAGGCAACACCCATTCAGTGAATAGGCCTATTTAAGAAGTGAATCAAGAGACAGCCCCTTTAATAAAAAAAAAAAATCAAACTGAAAGGGGAAAACTTTCAGAATTGCTGGCCAAAAGAGAAACACCTATTATTGACATTCATTCTGAGCCAGGAGGGCCCAAAATATAACCATGAAGTGGTGCTGGGGCTGGGCCCTATTGTTGTCCAATCAATGAGATCCAGAGTGAATTGGGTTTAAGGCATGGTCTCTGAAAATGAAATCTATCCAATTAAACCTAAGTTAACAAGTTAGGTTTCAGTCATCAAAATTTACCTTCCTTTGGGCAGAACATTCTCATGTTTGGGCTTGATACCCCATGAGAACAGAGGAGAAGGAAGAGATGGGAGGGGAGGAAAGGAGAGGAAAGGAGCAGAGAGTGGTGGAGAGAAGAGAGGAAGATAAGAGAGGAGAGGAGAAAAAAAGGAGAGGAGAAGAAAGGAGAAGCCTGGGGAAGGGAGAAACTGATTTGCCCAACTGAAATTGGCCAGCTGGGTCCCCATTCAGGCAGCTCAGACTACTTACACGTTGTGGTTTGCCGCAAGCCACCCAGAGGGACTGTGATCCTGGACTGTTACAGATGGAGGAAAAAGGGAAAGCCAAGAGGAAACCTTGGCCTCAGCATAAGTTGGGATCTTCCTGCTTAGGTTCCCCATTGTGTTCCTTTGAGAAGGAGTATTTCCCTCCTGGCCATTCCTGAGTCTGGCTATGACCTGGAATTGGAACTGCGTGGTTCTTTGCAAACTGTGAGTCTTTCCGGAAATCAAACATATATCAGGATGCTTGATCATGTCATATATGTGCCTCAGCCTGAAGGACAGTTTGAATCTGGTATAATCATGCCCTGCTGTTGTCGTTGTTGTTTTCCTTTTATACCAAATTTCTAAAATCAGAGCAAGTGGTCAGTAGAAGATATGAGCACAATGCAATTATGTGAGATCTTGCTGTTTTCCATCTGAATGTGTAGCATTTCCATGTCCCAAACAAGTAAGTAAATTAGCACCCCAGGATTGCCATCAATCAGCTAATGCCTACAGAGATTATGACAAATTAAGTCCCTGAAATAGCTCATCCTTTCAGAAGAATATCGGAATAATTAGGCAAAGATAAAACAAAGTCCTTAAATATTTCCAAATGATACCAGAATAATTGGGTATTGGTACGACTGACTGAAGGACCTAGCTGTTATTCTATGAATGACTGAAACTAAATCAGAAACATCTTCAGTTTTCTTTTGAGAAGAGAATTTCAGTGCAATGAGTTTTCTTAGGGGGAAGTAACTTAGGAAATAATTTGTGTTGCATTAATCAAAAAGGCAATTTCATTTCAGTTTATTACTACTGTGGAAAAAACACCTGTTTGTCCTATGTGTCCTGTCATACAAACATATATCATTACTAACGACTTATTGATATGCACTATTGTGGAATTGATTACTTGTGAATCCTCCCAAATCTTTTCTTATAATTGGAGTAAAGTAAGCCTATTATAAGTAAATTAATTAATGTAACTATTGAACTGAAGGGTGGAAAGCTTCTACCTGCAAGAGTGTTCTTACTTATATTTTCACGTATAGGACTGAATCCTCAATAGCATCTGATCCTCCTAAAGGAATTGGAATCAGAGTGGAAACTTGAGAAAGTGACAAGGTCAGACAATCTTGTATATCATATGTAAATCATTCTAACATGCCATGTAAAAACCTGAATTTTCTGAAGCTTCAAGCAAACTCTGGGTTCCTACACTGATGTGACTCTATGGTTAAGATCAGAACTCGAAGGTTTGAGCTGGTTTTCACAACATGATCTAGCTACAAACATGTGTCAGGCGGTATTAAACTTGTACTGAGATCTGTTCTGTGAAACATTTTAGCAGGAACATCTAAGGAGTGTCTACAAGAAACTTGGAACCAGACAAAGAATTTTACTTAAGATCAGGTGATGCTCATCATTGTGCAAGTTTCCCCTTGACAGAAAGGGGGAAAACAGAAGATCCAGTTGTTCTGATGTCCTTCTGTAATTGATTCTATCCTGTGTCATGCCCCAATTTGTTGTAAACCTGCCCATGCCATGTTGTTCAGAAACTCTACCCACCTGTATTCAGTTCAGTTCAGATAGTCAGCTCAACCATTGATCTCCAAATGCCACTGGTTCTTCCTTCACCTCCCCAGGGGTGGGAGGGAAGAAAACTTTAATAATTGTGATCATTTTCTTATTGGTCATGGTGTTTTCCTATCTGTGCTTGTATTGCTTATGTGGTTTATGCTTACAAATGAGATCATTCTGACTGTACTAAAAAGGCCCTAAAGCACCCTAGTATACAGCTGCCCCAAAGACATTGTGAAAAATATTCAGAAAGAATGTATGGGTGCCTTTTCAGGGGTGGATTATAGGGTTCCTTTTGGGAAATAGCAATAAGCAAAAAGCCATAAAAACTTAAATCCTGTGAAAGGTAGAATCCCAAACGTGGTGATCTCTTTACCAATTGTAACTTAAGATAAAAAATTATATTTTAGACACCGAGTCAAAACTTAAGACACTATGACATATGAAAGTCATGACAAGAATATCATGACCCATATATGATCGAGAAATACATTTATTTCAGGGCATAACATTGGCTTAACTCCCAAGCTTATTACTAAGGAAAACACTGAAAATATATGCCAGCCAGTGAGACACTCTCAGTTCTCCTCTCTTCATCTGTTTTCTCTAATTACCACAGAGATTTTTGGGTCTGTTAGTGGGAATCAACTGATCTGCGGGGCTGCAACCCCAGACTGAAGATTGCCCTTGTTTGTAAGTGTTCACAATGATGCTTAAACTATTACCAACAATCAATCTGGAGATGCTTGACCTCTTCATTTGGCATAAAAAAACCAATCCATGATTATGGGGTGCTACAGGGTTCCCCAGCAAAAGGAATTCCAGACCTTACAATTGGAGACAAAGTCACAGGTAATACTAATACTACTGTGGGTTGTTGTGGCTTATACAAAGAAATGACAAACTTCAGTTAGAGGTTAATAAAAATAAAGATATAATTTTTCCTCTTTCAAGTTCAGAGGTCCATTGAAATCAATCCTTGGGGACAAGGGACCCAAGATTAAGATCCTTGGTTTAAAGGAAGGGAAAAAAGTAAAGATATACCAAAACAAGGTTTTCCTGTCAGGAAGGTTTGAATTGCAGTTCTGCCTCGGACACAAGTTGTGGGACCCTGGGCAAGTTCCTTAGAATCTCTGTGATTCAGTTTCCACAGCTGTAAAATGGGGTTAATAATAGCACCTACCTCAAAGGGTGTTGTGAGGACCGAATAACTTAACATACATATATGTATATAAAAAAGGGCTTTCCGAGTCTTGAAGTACTATATGAAGTAGTTATTATTATTTCAGCTTAACTGTCCTATTTCTGAGACCATCTAGGGACTGTTACATGCACCACCTTCAGGAGGTCTGAACACAGCAGTCTGAATCATGCTTTCTCATTTATCTTTCCTACACTGCTTCTCTCTTCAAAAGTCCCCATTAGATATAGCTTAAATGGGATACTGATTTCAAGCTCTCATTTACAGAGCATAGGAAATAGCTAACAATGCAATCTGTCTGAATTACTCACCCCCCCCAATTCCTGCTTATTCTCTATCAATTACCCAATGCACCTACCAGTAAGAGGAGTCATTTTTAATGAGGTTTTATTCACTATTCCCCTGAATTTATATCAACTTACAACTGGGTTTGGAATCTAGCAGAGGAAAAGAACATTAGTTTAGCTGATATTTTTAAAATAACAATAAAGAGATACTTTGACTGTTGTTTGGTCGTTTCTAATTCTTCAGGACCCCATTTGGGGATTTCGTGGCAAAGGCACTAGAGCGGTTTGTCATTTCCTTCTGCAACTCATTTTACAGATGAAGAAACTGAGGCAAACAGGAGTAAGTGATTTGCCCAGGGTGACACAGCTAGTACCTGAAGCTGATCTTTCTGATCATATCTTCCTGATTCAAGGCCCAGCACTCTGTCCTTCTGCCACCTAGCTGCCCATAGCCCAGGGGAAAAGCAAATCTTAGTCAATGAAGATCAGTTATAGAATTCTTTCAGTGACCGTGAGGGACTAAATGATGCTGAAGAAAATCCCTTCACTTGCCATTGTGGGGTAAAGAGAGATAGAACTTAGAAGAAGTATAAGAAACTGGAGCTGCCATTCAGATTTGGGATTTTTTGTTTCTTGGGAACCTGTTCTTTGAGTGGCAGACAATAAAGCAACCTTGCAGGGCAATGCCCACACACACACTGACAACAGCCCTTCCCTGCCTGTACAGTTTCTGCTGGCCTATTCCACACTGTTGCCACAGCCTGAGAAAGAGCCAAGATGACTGTGAGGTGATCAGGGTTTTATCCCATGTACCACCATTTTATGGCCATTACATTTGGAGGCAGCTGGTGGCCCAGGGGATAGAGCACTGGGCCTGAAGTCAGGAAGACCTCAGTTCAAATCTAGGTCAGACACTTACCGAGGGATTCTGGGTAAGTCACTGTAACCTATGTTTGCCTGAGTTTCCTCAACTGCAAAATGTAAAAACCAGATTAGATAATATTTGGAAACAGTGCTTAGTACAATGCTTAGCACATGGTAGGTGCTTAATAAATGCTTATTCCTACCTCTCTCCTATTAAGCCCTTCCAATCCTTCAGAAGCATGGAAACACCTGAGTGTAGCACTCAATTAGCCAGCATAATTAATTAACTGTTCATCTTTTTTTGTTTTTAGGCAATTGGGATTAAGTGACTTGCCCAGGGTCACACAGCTAGTAAGTGTCAAGTGTTTGGTCAGAGGCTGGATTTGAACTCAGGTCCTAACTATTCATCTTTCACCAAATGCAGGCGCCCTTCCCCCTGAGCTTTTCCTTGTTCACTCCTTAATCTCATGGCAACCTCTCCAGTAATATCTCAGGGTGCTTTTGCAATACTTCTCTCACAGCAAAAACTCATCATTACAGCTCTTGTCACAACCGGTGGCAGCTTTCCTAAATGTAAAGTATTTGAAGACCATTTGGGAAATAAAATTGCCTTCAGACTAATTCCCAGAATTGGCCTAATTGAAAAGCAGACCGATTCTGCTTTCCAGAAACAGTAAGGGAATGCAAGACAATTATTAAAAGTCTGCCTTTGAATATTTCCATTGGGTTCTTCTGCTTGCAACTTTCATCTACACAACTCATGACTCATTCTGCTTTGGAATGATATTCAAGATTAAAATATTGTCCTGGAGCCAATGATAAGTATGGCTGCTTATTTTGCATGAAGAGTTAACCTATTATAAAATGATGATATTTAATACGTTCTGGCACTCAGAGGTTCACAAAGCATTTAAGATCCATTGACTCGTTTGAGCCTCACTACGATCCCAGTGGTTAGGTCTTACCATCCTCACTGTATAGATGACTAACCAAACCCTAAGAGTTGAAGCTGTTTATTCAAGGTCACCCAAAAACCAGTGGATGGAGCTAGGTACCAGATGTAGATCTCCTCCTGAGTGCTGCCTGTCATGAACGACATGAACAACAACATGTACAGGAGGTGATCTGTACTTTTTTTATTTTGTTGAAAGTGGCTCCATGTTAGTTATGTGCATGCTGTGTTCCCAGTTGAATTCTGAGCTCATGGAGAACAGTACCAGTGTAATGTGACTGGCCAATGGGAGCCCAGTCCTTAGGGACCATGTGCAGTGTGCTTGGCCTCTCATAACAAGAGTAATAAATATTAGAGAGTAATAGGGATTATAGTAATAATATTTAATGATAATAGTCATCGAGAGTAAAATAGTAATACTGGCCATTACTTTCCTCTTCAGAGCATGCCCAGAAACTGGCTCACCAAACATCCATGAAGGAAAACACATCAGCCAGAGTGTATTGTGCATGCTCCTAGTGATGGGCTCTCATTGGCCAAGCCATCACTTCACCAGTAATGCTCTCAGCTTAAAAATACTTCAACCATCTAGTTGTTATTACATCTGGATTCTCCCCATTGGATAATCATTCTTAGATTGCACATTGGTTAAAATTGAGACCATTGATATAATTTTAAAATCTTAATTTTTCTTTGCCATATACTTAATTGGAGCCTTGCTTTCTACTTGTCTAAATCCCATCTCCCTTGAAAGAAGTCATCAATGGTAATTTTCCCTTCTGAAAGCTTCGTGGACTTCTTCTGCTCCAGAAGATTTTCTTCAGTTGGGATGAGTCACACACAGCCTCTTGATAAAGCTGATGCAGCTGCTCCACCTGATGAGTTAGCAACTGGATCTCTTACTGAAGGACATCAGTTTTCTGCAAGGAAACTATAAAAGTGAGATTTGTCCCTATATCCCATGTTTGCTCTTTCCTTTCCAAGCAAACATGTGAATCCAAGTATTATAGTCAAAATATGGATTTCATTATGCTGGGAACTTTTCCCCAGGAAATCTGCAGTGTATATCATCAGCTGAAATGGAGAGGAGAGAAGGGAGGCTCATATATGAAAATAAAACACTTCCGCTTAAACTTCATAATGTAACAGTCTACTAAATTTTCAGGACACTAGAGAAACTTGCCCAACGAGAAAAAGCTAGACTACTAGGCAAAAACAAGACTTCTATGGAAGGCCTCTGCAAAACATATTCAATCCAAGATAAACATCAATATTTGTGTGAACTGGAGGTCGACAAAGAGATGAAGAGACAGTTTTCACTACACTGATTTCAGGATTATGAATTTTCTATATGAGGCTGTTGGTTAAACTGTTCTGCAGAAATTGAACAAGTGATTGCGCTTTTTAAATGAGCCTTATTGATGCCTTTTGGGTTTTATATCAGTTCTAGGGGGGGAAAGAGTTTGACAATCATCACATATTCACCAGATATACTTCCAAGTGAGTTTGGAAGATCTCCTTCTGAAGTGATATAAGCAGCATTATTGGATTTTAACAACTGGAAATATTTTGCTATGAGAAATGGAACAATTAACTTCATAGATTTTGTACACCTTCTCTTGCCTTACTGTTGCAAAATCTCAACAATGGAAACGGATTTTTAATTTGAAATGAGGCACAAGCATTTTCTGTATTAGGAACGTAAACCATATGAGCAGAAAATTCTTAAGTGACAACTTTTCTGCCAACATACTCACATCTATCCAAATCATTAGTACTGATTTCTTGTATCCTTTCCATCACAGCTTCCTCTGTATTTGGTACGGTGTTAAGGGTGTTGCTCAGAAAACTAGTAAGTTGATTGATGAAACTCTAGTACTGGGGCTGGGAACTTTTAGTTTGCAAGTTCCGGGTGAATGGGGATTGGTCTCTTGTAGTCGTTTGCTCTTCCTTGTGAAGCAAATCAGGTGGACATTCTTCCCAGCTCTTCTGCCCATCTTTCTGTTGCTCTAAGAGAAAAATGTCTTCATTTTCCAAGTTCTTAATAGCTTCATAAGTGTCCTAAACATGCCAATAAATACTTGAAATCCCTGAATTTCAAAGCGAGTGATTTCACAGTCATTCTACTGCTATTTTTAAGGTTAAAGAAGAAGGCTATCTTTTCTTCTCTATATAAATATGGTCATAGTCTCTTCTTTGAGGCTACAAGACCATGGTCTTTCCATAAAGCATTGGTAGAGTCTTCATTTTTAGAGCTGGAAAAGATCTTAGAGAACATCTAATCTAATCCTCTAATTTTAGGGATGAAGACTCAGAGACCCAGAGCAAAGTAAGTAGCAAAATTCACTGGGCTGGGAGCCAGGAGTCTTGAGTCCAGGATCTGTCTTTTCTGCCTTAAACAAATTACTTAGTTCTTTGTATCACACTTTTCCTAATCTGTAAAAAGGGAATAAGAATACTCGAACTACCTTCTTCACAGCATTGCTCTAATGGTCTAATAACATAATAAATGCAAAACCACTTTGAAAAGTGCAATGCTTTCAAAATACTCTATGAAAGGAAACAGTTTTTACTGTTGTCATCACTACTTATGATCAGTGAGGAGATCTAGGGAACCAACATAATAGAGCAAAATATCTCCTGGACTAGTTCTGTTTGCTGTTTTTGAAAGAGTTACCAGAAAGAAAGAAGAAAATAAGCATTTATCCAGAGCCTTCTATGTGCCAGACACTGTGCCAAAAAACTCACAATATTATTTCATTTGATCTTCTTCCTGAGTATGACTTATTAAGATTGAACTATTTACATTCCTGCATGGAAAGATGATATTTATAACTCATGAGACCTTTGTCAGTATCAGGGTAGTTGGAGGAAAAAATTATTTGTATGTGTATGTAGATAGATAGATAGAGGGCACAGGGTGAGCTGAAGATTAAGGGGTCATATCTGGAGAATAAAATTAAGGCATGAGAGAGGATTATACTCAGAGAATAAGAAAGGGAGAGGTAGAGTGGGGTAAATTATCTCACAACCCCCCCAAAAAACAGAAAAGTCTTTTACAATGAAAGGGGAAACAGGGGAAGGTGAGAGGGAAGGAGTGAATCTTATTCTCATAGGATTTGGCTTAAGGAGGGAATACAAGAGAGCAGGGGGATGCTAGAGAGGAGGGCAGATTGGGAAAGGGGTTAATCAGAAGTAAATACTTCTGAGGAGAGACAGGGTCAAAAGAAAGAATAGAATAAATGGGAGGGCAGGATAGGATTAAGGGAAATAGAGTTAGTTTTTCACAACATGTCTACTATGGACGTCTTTTGCATAAATGCACATGTATAACTTATATTGAGTTGCTTGCCTTTTCAATGAGGGTGGGTGGGGAGGGAGAAAGAGAGAACATTTGAAACCTAAAGTTTTAA